TCAGAAGAATGTGAAGTAGTGGAACAATGTTGTGTGGGGAATGTTAGAGCGCGAGGTGTCCTGCCAACTGGACGATCAGTGGACGACTGATGGTGTGTGTGTGTGTGTGTCCTCTCAGGGTGTGGTGCTCAAGCCCCACTGATACTACCCAGACCACTCTCCCTACCCAGTAAACCAGGCCAACCATGCCCACCCTGACCACTCTCCCAACCCAGTAAACCAAGCCCACCCTGACTGCCCCCACCACACTAGTGGAACTTCCTCGACACACGGAAAGAATCTCTTAAAGGGGAAAAAACTAAATGAGAGGGATTTCCCGGTACCTCAGTGATGCCTGAGAGGTATTACCCGGTACCCTGTACCTCAGTGATGCCTGAGAGGTATTACCCAGTACCCTGTACCTCAGTGATGCCTGAGAGGTATTACCCGGTACCCTGTACCTCAGTGATGCCTGAGAGGTATTACCCGGTACCCTGTACCTCATGATGCCGAAGGGATTACCTAGTACCCTGTACCTCAGTGATGCCTGAGAGGTATTACCCGGTACCCTGTACCTCAGTGATGCCTGAGAGGTATTACCCGGTACCCTGTACCTCAGTGATGCCTGAGAGGTATTACCCAGTACCCTGTACCTCAGTGATGCCTGAGAGGTATTACCCGGTTCCCTGTACCTCAGTGATGCCTGAGAGGTATTACCCGGTAACCTGTATCTCAGTGTTGCCTGAGAAGTATTACCCAGTACCCTGTACCTCAATGATGCCTGAGAGGTATTATCTGGTACCCTGTACCTCAGTGATGCCTGAGAGGTATTACCCGGTACCCTGTACCTCAGTGATGCCTGAGAAGTATTACCCGGTTCCCTGTACCTCAGTGATGCCTGAGAGGTATTACCCGGTACCCTGTACCTCAGTGATGCCTGAGAGGTATTGAAATCAAATCAAGTTTATTCTGTATAAAGATTACAATGCGGAGTTTACATATATTAGGATATTGTGTGGTTTACTTGTTATAAAATACTAATTACAGATTTTATAGATTTTTAGATTTTGCCACCGAAGTGGCTAGTTTATTGTGCACCCCATATCCATCCTGTGGACGGTAGCGCGAGAGCATATGGATACACAAAAGGCCTAGGAACTTGGCCCCAAAGGGCTAAAAGGAATACATATGGATTTATATCTACATATCTATAGTTCACTCATCTGTTACAAGCAAATTTAGGAAATTTGCTTAGTATATCTGGTATCTTATTTTCATTAATAAGATATCTTGACATGTCACATAGGTTATTATATTGTCTGTCTCTGTATTCCTCAATAATGGACAATTAACAAAATAGTGTTCAAGAGAGTGACCAAAATGCCTGATCACATAATTTACATTTAGTTTGACACCATCTGTGTGTCTCCCAAAACTCCCAGAAGTACTTGTAACCAAGCCTAACCCTGGCCACTACAACATCAGTCATCTGTTCACATTGCAAGTTGCCCCAAAAAACATACTTATCTACGTTCATGTTATCATAGTGGGTTATAGATCTACTCAGGCTTCTAACTGCATTCCTATAACAATCATTTTCATTATTACTTCTCCCCTAATATTATTCCTAATGCTAACACAGTTATACCCACGTTATATTCTACTTTTCTCCTTCTGTACTCTTCTTGGCTGACCATATCAACTTTATCATGAAGGAGTAATCCAATGTGTGATGGGATCCATAGCAATTGTACATTAATTCCTTTGTTCCTAATTTTTTAGTATCTATACCTGGCTTCCCCAATGAGCATGTTTTTGGGAGTCATTATATGAGCCAAGAGCCTTCAATGATGACAAAAGAATCATTAATGATGATGGAGTCAAGCTCATGTCATAGGTTAGCTTTAGCGCCATTAGGATTGCAAAAAATTTCAGTTTGCAGTGTAGACCCCAGTTTTTAAATTCTTATGCCCTAACTCAACAAATTTACTATCGTCTTAACTAGGGACTGGAAACAAAGCAGATGCAGCCCTGCCAAAGACTCCTGTTTAGATCCATCAGGTATATAACTTGTGATAACTTATTACTACCACTAGGTGAAAATTTCTTTTTGAGCAGTTGCTCTAACAAGAGATTTAAGGAAGGGATTACTAGCAATGAGCTTCTTGGGGGACTTGTAGGTATGTGATATTAAATGAACACATCTTCCATGGAGGGGTGAAATGCTCTTGTTGCCTACAGTGATACAGTTCATGCGGGTTAAAAAAACTTAATGCAATTGCACGTTTTCACAAATCCATTTAGATCTGTGTGTATATACCTCTAGACACTTGGTAAGATTCACTGTGACAGTGTCTGGTTCTTTTTCTCAACATTCAATACCGAGTACAGTGTTAATTTCAACAATCCTATCACTGATACTAGAAATACCAAGCTCCTTCCTCAGTTAAGAACTTTTTGTAGATCTGGGACAGCCAAGAATAATCCTGAAGCTTCATTTGCATTAACCCAAGGGTCGGAGAGAACTTTCTCTAGCAATATCAACATGGAGCAGCATTATCAATTAAGGACCTAACATAGGCTATGTAAATCATTCTCACGATTCTCACATTAGCCCATAGTTGGGATTGTACCAGCAACAGCTTTGAGAGCATTTAGCCTAGCTTTACATTTCTTGTTTTAGTTTGGTATAGTGGATTGTTAAAGGTACATCTACACCAAGATATCTGTAAGTTTTAACGTAGCTAATGATTTCACCCCGCAAATAGATGGGTGGGTGATGTCGTTTGCTTGTTAATATCTTTTTTTAGAGGAAGAAAATTATGAGGCCTAGTCGATTACAAATTTCTTGAACTTCATTAAGAATGGTATTCATCTTCTTATGCCCGTTTTATGGATCATGAATCATCAGCATAGCTTATAGCTATAGTTTTGGTGAGGCGGTAGAGCATTTAGGAGAGCATTAATCAGAATATTAAATAGCATGGGACAAGAACTCCTCCCTGTGGTGTACCTAAAGACATTTCTTTAGAACACTTCTGAAGCCTTGGTAAAGGACAGAGGATACTCTATTTGACAGGTATCCTATTATCCAGCAGAGTAAAACTACCACCAATATTCATTTTGGGTAGTTCATGTAGTTATAACGGTTCTGTTCGCAATATCAAATGCAGATTTTAGATCAAGAAAAGTGGTAAAACTATAGAGGTGTGTGCAGTGAGAAAGGTGGAAATACAGTTCTTCACACTTTTACCTTTCATGAACCCCTAGACGTAGGGGAAAGTTGATGTCTGAAATTTTGTAGTACAGTCTGTTAAGCAACTTCTTTCAAAAGTTTTACAAAGACAACTAGTTAAGGAGATCGGCCTAAATGTATCAGGCTGTTTGGGCTTAGGGATAGGGACAATGAGACTATTGGTCCAGGAAGTAGGAAGAACGCCCCCAATGTAACTGAGATTTTTACAGTGCCAACAAAGGGTTATCAGCACGTGCCTTAGAGTTCTGAGAATATCATAGGTTATACCATCCTCTCCAGGAGCAGTTGATCGACCTTTGGTTAATGCATTATCTAATTCATACTCGTAAAGAGGAATCACTCTCACAATATTTTGGCTCATAAAATTAATCAGTTTCAACATTTCTTTAGAAGTATCTCTAAATTTTTCTATATGAAATGGAAGGCTTTCATGCCTGGGTGTTTTGGACCAGTCATTTACGAGGTTTATTTGCTTTTTCAAGAGGAAAGGGATGAGCACATTGCCAGTCTTTTCCTGGTTATTTTTTTTATAACCTTTCCAAGCCAAACTCAAGGGTGGACCTATTTAATCCACTTACAAACTGTTCCCATTCCTGTTGCCTAAGTTCTTCATTTCTATTCCTTGCATTTGTTAGTGCAGCTTGGAACGTTTTGAGCTGGTCTGGGGTTCTACATTCACGGTATGCTTTACCAATCCTCCTAGCTGCATGTGTTAGATTGCGCAGCTGTGGATCATTATAGTATTTACATTGATTTTTATTGTTATTTATAGTGGAGGGTCTTTGTTTCCTTTTCCTGCCCATTTGATCAGTGAAATTAGATTAGATTAGATTTTGCCACCGAAGTGGCTAGTTTATTGTGCACCCCATATCCATCCTGTGGACGGTAGCGCGAGAGCATATGGATACACAAAAGGCCTAGGAACTAGGCCCCAAAGGGTTAACAGGAATACATATGGATTTATATCTACATATCTATAGTTCACTTATCTGTTACAAGCAAATTTAGGAAATTTGCTTAGTATATCTGGTATCTTATTTTCATTAATAAGAAATTTGACATGTCACATAGGTTATTAATACTGTCTGTCCCCTGTATTCCTCAATAAGTGGACCCAATTAAGCACATAGTGTTCAAGAGAGTGACCATATGCCTGATCACATAATTTACATTTAGTTTGATCATCATCTGTGTGTCTCCCAAACTGCCAGAAGTACTTGTAACCAAGCCTAAGCCTGGCCACTACAACATCAGTCAGTCTGTTCACATTGCAAGTTGCTCCATAAACATACTTATCTACGTTCATGTTATCAAGTGGGTTATAGATCTACTCAGGCTTCTAACTGCATTCCTATAACAATCAATTTCATTATTTACTTCTCTCCTAATATTTTTCCTAATGCTAGACACAGTTATACCAAAGTTATTCTACATTCTCCTTCTCGATACTCACTTGGCTAACATATCAACTTTATCATGAAGGAGTAATCCAATTGTGAGGGGAACCATAGCAATTGTAAAATTAATTCCTTGCCCCTAATTTTTGAGTATCTATACCTGGCTTCCCAATGACATGTTGTTGGAGTCATTATATGAGTCAAGAGCCTTCAGTGATGACATAGAATCAAGTAATGATGATAGAGTCAAGCTCAGTGTCATGGGTTTAGCTTTAGCGCCATTAGGATTGCAAACAATTCAGTTTGCAGTGTAGACGCCCAGTTGTTAATTTTATGCCTAACTCAACAAATTTATTATCATTCTTAACTAGGAGGTGGCAACAAGAGCAATGCAGCCCTGCCAGAAGACCCTGTTTAGATCCATCAGTGTATATACTTGTGATAACTTGTTTCTA